ACCACTTCCTCTAGAGTGGATAGTTACCAAGGTGAGGGGTGAATCGATAATTGTTATTTTGTAGTTTGTTTACTTTAGCTGGGAATTGTCACCACGTGAATTTGATTGCTTTAGTTGTACACCGATGTCATTCGTGATAACATCTTTGAGTTGTTTTTTATGGGGATTTGATTCCTTTTGGTCGTACACCATTGGCATTTGTAACAACTCACTTGACTCGTTGCTACCTTTATGATCATAAAAAGACTTCAACAAAAGCTTATTTATTGTGTGATATAAAAATCTTCATACATTGAAACAATCACCATGTTGTACATATGCATAAAGTTAAATTTAACCAATGCGAGGCCATAACTTATTGGTCTCTAGAGGTGGTGGTAAGGGACCTAGTCATTGGTGTAGGATATTATTATGACCCATCACCTCTAAATCTTTAGCCTACATATTTTTATTTACTTGATTGGGGATGGATTTATATGTCTCTTAATTTCCTAACCATGTGGGCTACATTGATTTTTATAGCCTTGCACTTGTCTCCCCTTCATAATTAGTTCTTCTATTGCATTCTTCATATGAATGGAATCAATTATGCTATGATAGTGACTCTTATGGATAACGATAATTGGATTTGTCTGTCCTAGAAGTTTCCTTGTCTGAGTAACCATTCTTAATCCCATATTCTTTGAAATTAGTGTTCGTGTGTTTGTAGTATTTTTAACAAAAGTATTTATATTATCGTTTTCCTCTTGGATTGGTGTGATATTAATGTCGTTCTATAGTTTGAGTGTCTATAAGTGTTTGAATCATAAACAAATTTTTAATGCTTGCTTTTAGTAACCAAAGATCAAGTTCCATGCACTAGATAGTGATTTGGATAATAGAGAAGTTGTTGTTTAAAAATGTTTGTTTTGATAAAAAGGTGTCAAGGTTAGTTTTTATCATCATATTCCACAGTTATTTGATTAACCTTGCATATGAACTAATCAATGATCAATACACTCATGTATCCTCTCAATATTTCTCATGTCTAAGCAATATTGTGAGTGTTATCTTGTTAATCTTTAAATGATCTCTCAACCTAACTATTAACACGATAATCTTTAAAGCTTGATATAAGTGAATACTAGCTCACAAATTTATGTCTAGATTATTTTATTAGTAGATGAATATCTTAGGTCAAGCTTGGAACTTACTTCCCAGTAATGAACCAAACCATAAAAATAACAATGATACAAAGATATTAAACATGTATTAATCTTCAACCAAGTTCATATACAAAATGATTAAAAGAAATACATTAAGTCTAGGTTGAGTACTTCTAAGCTTGACACAAAAAGTGTTTAGCTACTCATTGTCATGATACTTTGCTCAATGAATAAATAATGGATGTTGATGAACATTAATCTTCAAGTTTCCTTGATTCAAGATGCAAGAGTGTTCCTCTTCTCCTCCTTTTTTAGATAAGAGCAAAAATATACTTTCTATGTTGTAATGTTATGATCCATAGAACAAAAGGTTTTTATATCCAAAATCAGATTTTTTTTCCCTCCACGAGACAAAAGTTGGTGGAAAGTTTCCATAAAAGATGGAAAAAAGTAGCCAAAAGTATGGCCTATCTGCGCTCCATCGTCGGGCGACCATAAAGCATCGCCGAGAGATTTTTTCTAGATGCCACACGTGACCAGATGGGCGTGCTAAAACCCCAAAAGAGCATCTTTCATCGCCTGGAGACAAGAATGCTTCGCCGGGAGATCCTCCTTTCCCAGGCGCCCCAGAAGCGAAACAATACAGGATTGAAGCTTCTATTTTTCACCATTTTCTCTAGGCGACGCATCCTGTTGTCGGGCGATCCTTTGCAGCATCAACACTTTTGTTTATTTTACTTGGAAAGTCTAAATTCTCCATTTTTGCCATCTTTTCTGCATAAGTTTTGCTGAAATACTAACAAACAAATTAAACATTCACAACTCTTTGAACAATACACAAAATGACTAAAATATATATATTTAACCTAATCAAAAAGTAAAGTAAAAGGTCTTAAAGTGTCAATAATTGATATGAATTTATACACAAATTGACACTTAACATCATGCACTCTTTCAAAATTATTTCCCTTAGAGTGTTCAGGAGAGTGAAGGAATTACACCTATACGGGGGTCCCCATTTCCTTTCTTCTCTATGAAAATCAATATCTCTATTTGATGTCAGTTTGTGTCTGGAACTCCCTACTCTTCGACCTCTTTCCCCTTTTTCGGCCAACACATTTTATTTATAATTAATATAAGAGTATGCCTTATTCAGCAAATCTCTTAGGGTATGGGCTCCATCGAGTCCTAACTTTTCCAAAAAAATTCCGTCTGACCTGAGCCCCTTCTTGAACATCAAACACTTCAACCCATCATATGTTCCCTCACTGCTACTACCACTTTAGTGAAGCGATCAATGTCTTCAGGTAGAGTTTCCTTCTTCTGCTGAATGACCCTATTGAAGACGACCATGGTTGTTGGTTGTCACTTTGAGGTGGTAAAATAGGTAGTGAATGCATCACAGAGGTTCTTCCATGAGTCTATGCCCCTATTTGTATGGGTTTTGGACCACGTCGCTGCGACTCCAGTCATGGTTAGTACGAAGAGCTTACACTTTAATTCCCATTGGGTGTGATTGTAGTCCATCTGGTTATTTACATGTTTAACATGCTTGTTTGAATCCTCTGTTCCATTATAATTTTTTAGCTTTGGATGTTTCTCCAATGGACTTAGAATCATGTTGTTGAGGATGCACGCGAATATCAAGTTCTTTTTACATTCTAGAACCATCATATATTTCCCTCTTTTGACGATGTCGCGCTGATGAATGATGAGGTCAATGAAACTCCGGGGATCACTCATCCTTTTAGGGTTAGGTGAATGAGTTTGTGTCTTTAATATCAACCTTTGACTAGAAACCTTGAGGCGTATTCTCATGATGTTGATTTATTAGTAGAGATTGACTCAAATATATTTACTTGATTTTTTGAGATATTTCTCCTCGTACAATTTTATTCCTTAATGTCACATTTTGCAAGCTCTTCTAAATCATAGCTTATTTGCCAATAATTATCAATTATGCTGGTACACTAGATTATAAACATTGTTAAGTTGGCCGGTGGCTCTTTGAATTCCAAGATTGGCCTATTGTAGTTGAAGGCCAGAGAGAATTTCTTGTCTAAGCATAACAACCATTGGAGGAGATCGGTGTGATGGTTTGCCTTAGTGAAATCATTATATAGATCCAAAGAAATGAACAGCCTGCGATACTCCTTAATTAACTCTCGGTGGAGTAGGATCTTGTTGTGTAGGGGTTAGAAGGGCATGCCACAAGAACTGGAGTATCTTCTATTTGAATAGGAGGATGAGGCCTGACAACTTCTGCGACCACAATATCAAATTGTTCTTGAACGATAAATCTAGTGGCTTTGGATATCATTAGGCTTGATGAATCTGAAGATGGATTTGTCAAAGGAAGATGTTGAAATTTCAAGAAGAAAGATCAAGAAGCAAATATCTGAACCTTAAAAAAGGAGATTTGAATGTCTATATCAGAAGAAATTTGGGCGTGGAAATTCAGGGGAATCAAATGTGAATTCCCATAAACGGCGTCATGGTTATGTTCATAACTAGAAATGATTGTTGAAATGATGAAGCAATGCTTCACTGTAGTGGATTTGAGCTTCTAGTGCGATGGAAAGGGGGTTGACTTGCAAGATTAACACTCCAACATGAAAATTAGTGAGAGGATAATGAGTAATGTATGAGTGAGGGAGGATTTGAATACTTTAAAATGACACACTTTCTCTTTTATAGAGCAGGGGTAGTTTAATTCGTATGGGAGGAGTGCGGACATCCGTCTGATTGATCTGGACAATAAATGATGCCTCGGGGGAAGAGTTACATGTATTAGGTGAGAATGGAGGAATACATGTTTCTCACGATTTCTTCTTTTGCTTTGCCTCTGGGCCTTTCGCCTTGGGTCTTGCGAGCAGCCCGTAACACTAATCAAACATACAAATGACATAAATTTAAATATCAGAGAAATCATAAACATGCTTCCAAAAATCCTAATTAAAAAAACACAAAAGCAAGAAGAAAGATGTAGACTTTATCTTGAAAGAACGATATTGGTCATCTATATGCCTCAAATACCACCAATCGATCAGATGCTATAAATGAGCCTAATTTGAGAAGCAGTGAAGAATAGCCCATAGGAAAGAGCTAGGTTGACAATACGAAGAAAAAACACTTTCGTAATTTGCAAATGACAAAAGAGGGAAATGATATTTCCAGAATAATTTTATGTTTACATTCGTCACAGGAAACTGTATGATCTACTATGTTAGAGAAACGCTTTTTAAAATTAAATTTTAAATTGTTTTACAATATCAATGAATCTTTAATGTTGTTTTTTCTACTATCAATTTTAAGTATTTATTATTCTCTCTTATCAATTTTTTTAATTTATCTTTTTCGTACAATCAATGAAGGATAATTTTATAAAATCATTCATAATCTCTCTTTTTCATATAACAATAATGATATTTTTAATACATATAAAAATATCAAAATTACTTATATTAAAACGGAGGGAGTACTTATTAGTACATAGTTTTTTATATACGTATAAATAACAATTCCTCCTCTTTTACTGAACAAAGTGCAAGTCTCTCATGACATTTGTTCTTCTGATTTAATATCACTTTTGTAATCATGATTTTATATCCTTTAAAATTTCTAATTTCTTAAAAAACAAACTCTAGTTTATTAAAAAGAAAATCATTTTAGAATTGAATAATCATTCTCAAACCAGTTGACTTTATGGGTATGATGATGGAATACTCTATCATCAACTCCAATATACACTTCAAATTATGTGAGAAGAAAAGATGACATTACATAATACCAAAGAGAAAAAAAAACACATATTAGGCAATAAAATAAAATAAAATAAAAAACAAAATGAAATGATCACATAATAGAACAAGCATGTGGATTATCATCACTAAAAGTAGCACCAGTTTGATGGCCAAAAATTGAAGATTGAGAAGGATAGTGATAAAAGCTAGGGTCACTACTATCATAACCATGCTTGTAGTAGTTGTAAGATGAAGAAGGTTGTGAAGCATAATTTGGGACAGGACCATTGACAAGGTGTTGTTGATGATATTGGTTTTGAGATTCTGCTGTATGAGGAAGTTGCCACAACTCAGCCCTAACTCCGGTTTTTCGAACCCTTTTTAAAACCTTCTTCTGATCAGCGTAACCGTTCACAGTCACCTTTTGTAACTTCATGTCTATTTCAATATCGTCTATGCCTATAACACAGAAAAAAAATATCGGTCTTTAATTCGTTCACTAGATTTAATAAATAAATAAATAAATAAATTAGCAAGATAAATGAATATTAAAAAAATTTAAAAAAAAAAAAAAACTAAAGGTACCTTTCATTTTTTGAAGTGCGTTTTTCACTTTGTTTTGACATCCAGGACAATCCATGTGTACCCTCATCTCTATAATCTGAAGGAAATTAATCAAGATAAACAAAGAAACATTGATATGAATTATATGAATATGTATAATCCTTACAGTAAAGAAAAAGTTTAGATAAAGAATGAAAGAAAGTGGTGTTTCTTACTGTCATTTTGATATTTTTGGTAGTAATATGAATTTGTCTTCAGCTATACCTAAATATATAGAAGTGGAAACTTTGATGGTGTTGACTTCATCTTTAATTGCTTGTTATGGGATGTAGGGATGGGTTTATTTTTTATTTGGTGAATCATATAAAATTATTGTTAAGGAAATCCTAAATGCACCGACTTTAAGTTTGAAGTAAAGTATAGAAATGTTGCTTTATGGATGGATGAGCCAGCTCAATGTCACATGTATTAATTCTGCTGAAGTTAAGGTAATTATGTAGATCCATGTTCAATTTAATATGCGGTTCACTATGTTTTTGAATGATTTTTATTTTTTTAAAATTTATAAAAAAAGGTTATATAATGTAATTTTTTATAAGTATTTTCACCCATTTCTAAGTTCTAAAGTTTTTGAATTTAACTATAATTTGGTTTTATAGTTTATTTGCAAAATTAGTAAATATTTGATCTATTTTTGAAAGAGTTAAAATTGTGAATACTTCTTATATTAAGGAAAGTTTTGATGAAGTGAAAGGGTGTCAAACGAGAAAAAAGATCAGGTAGTATATCATGCAAGTCATAAATGAAGATGATCAAAATTAAGAGAACATTATGAATCAAATTGAAGTTTGAGACAAAAAGTACAAATTAAGATGCATATTGCAATCCATGCTATAATAAATTCAATTGCTAAAAAAAAACTCATCTCTCATTTTATCTAAATCTTACTTGCATAATCATTCTTGATGTCGTACTTTAAAAAAAAAATTTTAAACAAAATGGAAAAGTGATAGTCAACTATCAAGAAGTGATATTCGACTAGCTTATCACAGATTAACATATTTTAAATTTTGGAATGAGTGCTAATCGACTACCACATATTGATATTCAATTACCACTATTTGAAATTTGATACATAGATACATAAACATCATTCAAGTTATTCACCATTACAAAGGGGTGTCTAATTTGTTCACCATTGATTTTAAAATCAATGTATCAAATTAGCTTCTTTTTTTTTTTAATGAAAGAATATAGAATGCAATAAAATATATAGAGACACATTCAGTTATCTATGTTCACTGTTAACTAGGATACTCCTGTCCATCCTCCTCAGGTGATTTTATCTTCAACAAAGACTTAATCCACTATAACCAAATCATGATTACAATCCACAATAAGTCCGATCAACCTTATAGTATCCTCAACAAGTTCAGCTGATCCTTATTGCCATTTCTGCTAAGACCACAGTCTAAGCCTACTTGAGAATCCTGGCTCAACGGAGTCTCTCAAGGAACATCACAATGATACGTTCAGTGATCTCTACGAGATATAACAAACATCAACCCACCTAGAACCTGACCTACCTGGTCTTCTAGAAAAGATTTCATCCACGATGACTGCAGCCACTCGTCTTCTCAAGTCTTCTGACCTTCACTCAATCACTTGAGGAACCACCAATTTTAAACATATTTTTTTATGGAGATTACATGAGTGCTTCTTATCAAGCATATTACTCCTAATTTAATTACATATTATTTTACATAATTCTGAGCAACAACTCTTGTGTACAAAATATTTACACGAAGATTCTTAAGAAATAACATAATATGGGCAACAACTCTTGTGTTTTACATTAGTTCTATAAAGATGTATATAATCTAATTTGAATGCAGCATCTTGTGGTCTTCTAGTCTTCATATTCTTTGTTGAGAAAGTTATGAGCAACAAATCCTTTCTTCTTCATAATTTGAATGTTTAACACTTTCTATAACTTTTACTAAACAAAAGTGTAATGTCCAAAAAAGTACAGGTGTGCTCATGTTTCCCCTGCAAGAGCGTGAAGACTCAAAGGCCTTATAGGCATATTTCATGTTTGAGGGTGAGGGCTAGATCATAGAGGCGGGTAGCCATGTACGGTGGTCTTTGAGGTTATTTAAGGGACCATCTCACCTGAGGTGAGAGTCCTTATTGTTGGTCGGTGCTGCTAGGTCATAAGCGAGCAGTTGGAATTATGTTGCTAGGATTACTCAGAGCAGAATGCTCTCCGAGTGGTGTTTGGATGTGTCTAAGTATGTGTTACTTGATAGTTGTCCTTTTCTTTTTTGAAGGGTAAGGTATTTATAGTAATTCCTGATTCATAGGGCTTTCTTGGAAAAGGACACCGCCCACCCAGTTAAAAAATGGAAAGTTAAATTCTTATTTCTAATGGATACGTGGATCACTAGCTATATTGAATTTTCCATTATCTATGACGCGTATCATTCCAAGTTTCTTCTACCAAAGGGTGAGGAAAACATAGGGGCAAAGAGATACCTCCCTTTAGGAGACCTTGCATCGTCGCCCTTTCCTAGGGCATTCCTAAGTTGTCTCCTTATGCAAGGTCATTTGCAAATATAACACTACACAGTCCCTCAAACACTAGTCCTTCGATAGAGGGAAAAGTAACTTTTACCTTTGGTTAACATGAGTATTTCTAGGATTTTCGTTTTCCCTTATGAGTCTTTTATCAACCTTTAGAAATTTAGACTTTCAAGACGACTATGTGTCTTGGTTGATGAGGCGTTGAGCCCTTCAAACGCTATATCAGGTAGTCTGATCGGGGACACTTATTCCCTTAGGTGGGTCATTAATATCTTAGGCAGGACTTCCATCGATCCCTCTAGCAAGATTTAACACTAAATCTCAAGGGCTTGATATAGGCCGCGCCTATTTAGGCATAATTTGTATGTCTTAGTACCGCCCAAGGAAACTCTAAGTCCCTCTGGTGGGTCGTTAATCTTTCAGGCGGGACTTCTATCGAGGCTTCTAGTGAGACTTAACACTAAGTCTTTTAGGCTTGATATGGATCATGCCCATTTAGGCATGGTTTGTATGCGTCCCTCATAAGAAAACTCTAAGTCCCTCTAGCGAGTAGTTAATCTTTCAAGCCGGACTTCCATCGATCCCTCTAGTAAGACTTAACACTAAGTCTACAGGGCCTGATATAGGCCGCACCCCTTGGGCGTGATTATTCGGAAGTATCCATTCTAAGGAGATACTAAGTCCCATAGGCGAGTGCTTTTATAAAACTTTGAGAACTCTAAGTCTTCCAGAGATTGCATCATATAACTCTATTGGGGATAAGTTGAGTCCCTTAGACGGGTAGTTGTAGCCTTTATGGAGGGGCCTCTATAGAGCCTTCTAGTAAGACTTGACACCAAGTTTCCAGGGCTTGATATAGCTCGCATCCCTTGGGCGTGATAATTCAGAAGTAATATCACATGAAGAGATAATAAGTCCCTCAGGAGAGAGTTTTTATTAACTCTGAAGACTCTAAGTCCTTGATAGATTGCATCATGTAACCTAACTGGGAAGAATTTAGTCCCTTACGTGGGTCACTGTAGCCTTTCAGGCGGAGCCTCTATCGAGCCATCTAGTAAGACTTGACACCAAGTCTCAGGGGCTTGATATAACTTACTCCCCTTGGGCATGATTATTTATAAGTAATCCCGCCTGAGGAGATATTAAGTCCCTCATGCAAGGGATTTTATCAACTCTAAGGACTCTAAGTCCCTCAGAGATTATATCATGTAATCCGGCCGGGGAGAAGTTGAGTCCCTTAGGCGCATCATTTTAGCCTTTTAGGAGGTACCTCTATTAAGCCCTTTAGCAAGACTTAACATTAAACCTCTGGGTTTTACATGGGTCGTGGCCATTTATGTGTGATTTATATGTCTTAGTACTCAAGGAAACTCTAAGTCCCTTTATTGGGTATTTTTAAATGAACTTTATTTGTATCGCCCTTGGGGTGGAAAGAATCCTCTAATGGGAATCCATTGCTCATGTATTACCTTAGGGGCAACAAAGATCTTTCTATGAATGTCTAGCTTAATATTGCCATGAGGGGGAGGCAAGGAGTTTTCTGTGGAAATTCAACATATGTGATTGCCTCGAGGGGCGGCAAGGATTTTCCTGTGGAAATCCAACCTATGTATATTACCTTGAGAGGCAAGAAAAATCTTCCCTCGGAAGTCCAACATATGTATATTGCCTTAAGATGCGACAAGAATATTCATGTGAAAGTCTAACATATGTATATTTCATTGAGAGATAGCAAGGATCTTCCTGCAAAATCCCAACATATGTATATTACTTTTAAAGGCATCAAGGATATTCTTGTAGAAGTCTAGCATAAAAATGTTTCAGAGAGGGGGACCCTGGTGAAATGAACATTTGAAAGATTGTTCAATTTACTCATGCATAAAGTTTACCGAAGAGTTATAATGGTTTTAACTATAATAATATTGAAGATGGAGTGCGTTCCAAGTCTGGGGTAGAAGTGGTCCTTCCAACTCCTGCAACTTGTATGCTTTATGAGGGAGCTTTTGGTATACGCGGTATGGTCCCTCCCATTTGGGTTGTATCTTCCCCTGTTGAGTGGGCATGGCTACTTTCTTTAATACCATGTCACCTTCTTGCATCTCCCTTGGCTTCACCTTAGAGTTGGATCTCCTAGAGGCTTTACGCTTGGCAAAAAAATATCGAATGTGGGTTGCTTCTTGTAGCTCATCGATCATATTCGTTGCATAATTTAATCTTATCTTTTTTGCTTGCTCGTCAAAATGAGCTTGTCGCCATGACGACTTCTTGATTTCTATAGGAAACATTGCATCTTCCCTATAAACCATGGAAAATTGGGTTTCCTTGGTGGTGGATTGTGGTGCGGTCTAGTATGACCATATTATTTCAGGGAGCAGCTCTGCCTTTAACATCGTCCAAATTATTTTTAAGTCCTTTGAGGATTATCTTATTTGCAGATTCGGCTTGTTCGTTGGCTTGAGGATGCACCGCGGACAAAAAAATTGTTTGCACGCCCAAATATTTCTA